TTTATTCTTTGAATCAACATCCTTGTACTCAAAACAAAAATCTAGTTTTACAGTGGAACATATATAGTATGCCAATGTTTTTTTTGTGGTTGCATTCCTCTTATGTCTAGCATGTAACCCTCAACCCAACACTGTTTTTAGGCAGATGAGGCCCTCAGTAGATTAGTAGACTGGGGATCGAGCCCCTCCCTTCTCTATCCAAAGATTTAAAAAAGCCTTTAAATGAGATGCACTGACATGTGTATGTATAGCAATCTGCACGTTTTTAAAGGGTTCTAATTACAGCATTGGAATCAGCGTCTAGGTGAAAGCAACTCGTCAGGAGGATAGAGTGGAAGCTAGTGGGATGCCAGTAGGAGAAGGAGGGGAACAGGAGTAATGTGATGCCATGATTTAGATAAAGGTAGAATGTGCAAGGCAGTGAAATGCATATTCTTTTTATTCTAGGATCAGCAAGAACATGCTGCTGGATTTGAACAAGGAGATCATGAATGAGTTGGGCATAACAGTGGTGGGAGATGTGATTGCCATTCTAAAACATGCAAAGGTAGTTCACAAACAGGTATGTAGAAAATGACATTGGGCCTTTTCACACCATAGTGTTGCACTAAATGCATGACATCTGTGTGTTTAGCGCACTTTATCACACAGCGAACCTAGTGTGAGGTGCTAAATGTGTTGCATTTCCATTCATTTTAATGGCACCCCAATCTACCTCTCAGTGGCCCTGCATTGCAGTGTATAGTACTGCAATACTTTCCAGTAAACAAACTAATGCATGCACTACTTTTTGCAGTGCTTGGCATTGCAGTACTGCACGCTTCGCTGCAACACACGTCTGCCAGGATGTTTGTTACGGTGCCATTCAAATGAATTGATATACACCTAGCATATGGTACCTCACGCTAGGTGTGATCGTGTGCATTTAGTGCTATGGTATGAATAGGCCCTCAGTCCTGGCTCGTGTGTAGCAGGATTATTAGGTACTGGCTGACCATATAATCATCCACAGCCGTAAGAAAGGTGTAGGATCTTGCATGCACAATGATTTTTAGAACTCTCAGTAGGAACATAGGGATGCTCAACTGCTTGTTTATTTTTAATGAAAAGTAGTGGTCAAACCCTTAGCATTGCCACCTAATCCAGGATAAATGGTTATGGCTGGCTACAAGATGCACTAATCCAGCTCTGTGTTAGCAGTCTGACTATCTCCTCCTTGAGATACCAGTTTGTCTACTTGCTTGTCCATAGCAGGCAGTCACATTGTCGTCATCCTTCTTCTTTTTTTTTTTTTAAGCTATACTTAAGGGCAGAGATGGGTCCCCATGGGCAAAACAGTCTCTTTGTTTTTATGTGACCATTTACTTTCAGGTTCATTTGAATGCATATGGTACTTGATGAAACCATTAAAGCGTCTTGTGCTCAAAACGCACATTAAATTGAAGGAGCTAGCCTGAACTGTACTAATGCCGACTGAATTTATTTTTAATATAGCATTTTTAAATGCCTTTTTTAGTTGGTATAAATTCGATCCAGTTGTTCCTTTTGTACATTGAGTTTGAAAAAAAAAAAGGAGTCTGTGAATTGCAGCTGCTTTGCCGAGTTTAAACTACAACTCCACACATGTACGGTGCTGTTTACTTGCTAAAGGACATCCGGGGTATGATCATATGATCAAGAGGGTGGAGTATTGCTAACACAGGATTTGGCCATAGAAGGTGCTTTGTTATTGCTGCTGAGTCATTAATAATAGAGCTGGGATTTTTTTCTCCTGGGACACGCAGGAGAAGTAACCTGACTGGAGTACCTGCAGAGAAAGAGCTATTACTTTAAACTGGATTCTATGACTTGTGAACTTGTGTTTTCCTCATACAGGTTCACTTTATTGCAGGTCCCACCAGCTACACATACTTAAATGAGGTGAGTGAAAATCACTCATCCTCATAGTTCAAGCTGACGTGTGACAATGAAACTGTCACACATCGGTTCAATAGATCGGGAAGTGAGCGAACACATACCGTCGCTCGCTCACTTCTCGATCATCTCCCTGGAGAGAGCCGTAACTGTCAGTCACCGCTCCCCGTAGAGATTCCCCGCTCCGATCCTCTGGAGGAACGGGCATGGAAGGGGGCGGGTACAGCGGATAAGGTAGAGCCAGTTGTCATTCACGCAGCTGGGTGGATCTTGACAGCATTGTCGGGATTCGTCCTGCCTGCGGCGGCCTCAGTATACCGCGAACTGTAGCTCCGCGATATACTGAGCTTTGGGTCATGGGAGGACGCTAGTATGTCCTCCCGTGACCCTTAAGAGAACTATGGTAAAAAACACTTACCCCATAGTTCTCTTTTAACTTCTCTTACTCCCTCTCCTCTCTTTAGTCATCAGCAGCAGGGAAGATTGGCACTGTGTAAATCTAAGTCACAACTTAGAGCTTTCCTAGGGCTGAGATTTCTTCCTGCCCCCATGTGACAGCACTAGATGCCTGAAAAACCAATTACCAGGCACCAGCATTAGCACTTGGGAGGGGAAAAGTTGCATTCTCCCCATACCCGAAAGAACCGGGTGTATCTCATTACTCCTTGGGAGAGCACATGGAAAGTTAGTGTGCTGCTGGTGGGCCCACTTAAAATGTAATTTGCACAGTGCAGGGTTTCCTTAAATAGGTAATCTGACTGCAGATGTCTGATAGGTTAACATGAAATGGCAAAAAAAAATAACATGAATGGTGGTATATGAGGTGAAACAATAGCTTGCTTTAAAGTAGAACTGAAGCCAAAACTTTTTTTGTAGTGTTGTTAGTAAAGCAGGTTATAACCGCTGCCAGATTTTTGCCGTCTGTGTTCCATTGGGGAGATTTCCCTTCACTTTCTGTCCGATAGCCACAACAGGAAGTGAGACAATGCCTCCAAGGTGAAGCGAACACCTACAGTCATCAGAACTTGTGTCGCCATTGTAAGATTTCCCATCTATTACTGTTCTGAAAACAACCCAAAATGTGGGATTTTCTTTTACCTTCAGTGATCATAGTCGCCAGGACAAATACGAAGGGTGAATCTCCCCAAGGGGAACACAGACAGCAAAATAAACATGACAGTTGTTCTAATCCCTCTCCACTCTATCCAAAATAAACATAAAATTGGCTTTAGTTGCACTTTGCTATTTTTAGTATTCTTTGTGCCTCCTATAGGATATGTGTAAAGCTATGACTGAGCCTCCCAGCCAGAACAGCATGCAGAGTGAACTACGGAGGACCGCTAATAGCCGTAAGTAATCTTAAACCCTGTTATACCTGTGTAGTCTTAAAAATGATATTCCCTTAAAGGGAGAGCTACAGTATACTTTGGAAGGATTTCATCAAATGTCTTTGCACATTGATACTTTTCTCTGTGCTGTAGACATTTCTGGGTTTTTATTTGCCAGGACTCCTTTGATTTCTGAATGGAAGGGTCAGACTTCCACTTTACCCAGCAGATACAATCTCAATGCAGCTTTTCTCATTACAATACTATCTGCATCCCTTTAGAAGGGGTTGGATTTGGAGAGTATCTGTCAAATGCCAGATTTATGACTTGTATCTCAGTGCAGACTTCTGGGAAAAGCACTTATGCACTGAACGCCCATGTAAAGGAGGCACTACAGTTTCCACTGTATTTCTTTTCCGGCTATTATTCGTTTCAGGAATCGGAGTATGCATTCTAGTGGTGTGGAGCTTAGGATACACTTAGTAAAAAGATATGGTGACAGTCAGTTGCAATGTTCAGGCGTAGGTATTCCCAGATGGCCTAATAAGCAGGACTTAAATACAGATAGCAATAGGGGAGCAGCGCTTGCCAGAAGGAAGATGGATGATCTATTCTTGCTTGTAACTGATAGCAGAGTCCAGTGTAAACAACATTGCTGTAGCATGTAACAATCAAGCTACAAAGTTTAAGAAAGTTCCACTTTGACACGGCTATTGCTGATAAATCGGGCAGCTTAGTGAGAATAAAGCTGGGTATACACTGATTGGATTTCAGCTGACATTTGATAAAGTAACCAAAATTCACTCGGTGGGTGTCTCAGTCAGCCAGATACCATCCAGCATCCTTCGATTGAAAAATCAAAGGGTTCAAGTAGAACATTCAAGGAGATGCAAGTACTGTTTTGGTATTTTGATAGCCAGCGGAGGGCGACTGTCAAAATACGATTTGCAGCAGCGGGCTGGTTCCTCCATCCCTGCTGTTTAGCGTTAGGAATTTGTTAGATTTTTTTCATTTAGCCTGAAAGCTGAACAAATCAAGCTTAAATGAAGGAGAAAAGTAGTCCGTATCTGCAGTCATGAAATGACGGACATCCATAATCCTTGCACGGTGTTTGAGCAAACTTTCCTTCAGTAAATCTTATCCTGTGATCTGAGGAAAAATCCGGGTATTGGCTCCAGCAGTAGTGGCACAAGATCACTGCTACCAATACCTGGTTTTTACATCACGTTACAATACACATTTTACTGAAGGGAACGTTTGCTCAAACAACTTGCAAGGATTACGGATGTCCACCATTTCATACTTGCAGGTATGGATATGCTTATATTCTCCTTGCAGTTATTCTCACTTAAAGGAGAACTATGCGGCGAGTGCTTTTCACTCACCTCATAGTTCTAGCCGACCTGTGACACTATCACAGGTCGGCTCAGTGGATCAGGAGGTGAGCGAACACACTCGCCTCTCGATCCTGTCACGGCTCTCTATCGTGACAGGGGAGGGGTTGGATTCCCCCCGCTTCGATCCTCCAGCGCTGACTGGCGGAACGGACGGGGGAGGGGGCGGGTACAGCTGGCTCTGCCTCTAGATAGGCAGAGCCAGCTGTCAGTCACGCAGCTTGGCGGATCCAGACATAATTGCCGGGATCCGCTTCAGCTGCGGCGTCTTAGTATACCGCGAGCTACAGCTCGCGGTATACTGAGCCTAGTGTGACGGGAGGACGCTAGTTTGTGTCCTCCCGTTACCTTAAGGAGAACTATGGGGAAAAGCCTTAACCCCATAGTTCTCCTTTTTTAAGTTGCCTGTTTTATCAACAATTGCTACATCACAGTGGAACTTCTTAGACTTTTTGTAACTTTAATCATGTATGATACAGCAGTGCTGTTTACACTGGACTCTTCTATCAGTTACATTGTCAGTTACACACAATAATAGATCATCCATCTTCCGTCTATCGAGCGTGGTTCTCCCGTTATCTGCATTATTAGTTTATTTTCTAAATATAAAAGTATGACACGTTCTTCAATAATAATTGTATTTTTAAATCTGCAACTAACTAATGCTAATGTACCTGAACTGTAGATATTTTTTAGCAGCACTCCCTGGGGGTTCTACTAGAAAAGCTGCACTAGATTAAGAAACAGAGTTCTTTTACTTAGGGAAGCACTGATACCGGTTTTTCAGTATCGAGTAAGAGTACAATATTTTGCTTTTGATACTTGCCGGTACCGTAACCGGTGCTTTCGCTGGTATGGAGCCGGCTAATGGTAATGGGTAATGACATGCCGCCCGGCTTCCTGATTGCCAGGGAAGACGACTTCTTCATGTTGTTTGGTCAGCTTGATTGTGATTGGCAGGGAAGCCGTTTAGCGAGTAATGACCCGGCTTCCTGATTGGTCGGGAAGCTGGCTCCATGCTGATTGGCTGGAAAGCCGGCTCCATGCTGATTGGCTGTAAAGCTGGCTTGCAAGCCAATCAGCATCGAGCCAGAAGTTCTGGTATTGAAGTACTCGCCCCAAATGCTCGGTATCGACACTAGAATCGGTATCGGTGCATTCCTAATTTTACTCCTTTTTTTTTTTTTAAAGCAGCCACAAGAATGATTGCAAACAGTCTAAGTCGAGACTCTCCTCCGTCCACCCCTGTACGCAGACCCGAAACAAGCACATCCAAGATCTCTGTTACAGTCTCCAATAAAGTGGCTCTGAAGAACGCACAGTCAGGTAATTATTTTTTTAAGGCAGGCAAATCTAAAATATTGCTTTATTATTATTAGATTTGATTGCCTAGGTATGTCAGTTAGCATTTCATATTTTGTCTCGTGACCTCTCTGCCTGCCTTTTTTACGGTCAATAGCTCATGATCTCTGTCTGTCTGTGTAGATGCGCCTTCACCTGCACCTGACGCCGCAGAGATTGAAGTGAAGCGTCGCAGGGTGACGGCCGAGATGGAAGGGAAATATATTGTTAATATGCCAAAGGGGACCACAGCTCGGACAAAGAAGATTCTGGAGGAACAGGCAACAAAAAGTGAGTTGATGGTGCCAGTTCACTGAACTACCTACTGAATGATATGTATCGTTTTAAGAGTTAACTTAAAAGTTGGGAATCAAATAAAAACCGGACTTCAATCAGCCATTGTATTTTATAAACTGGTTCTATGAGTTTTACCTCTGCAACCATTAGAATGCATGCAGATTAAAAGGCATGCATTTCCTGCCACTCCAGAAGATACCCAAGACAAGAAAACCTCATGTCCAGCTTTGAAAACCAGTTTCCCTTTATTTTTGTTATGCTATAGGTTTCACCAGAACGTCAGTCTTTGACAGACTGGGAGCAGAGAGCAAAGCGGACACAACAACAACAGGGGCAAAGGTGAGTAGAAAATGAAATGGAAAGTTCTTTTGGGTGCAGTTATTTTTGATTGCACCAATGTATTCATGGCTTGCATTGCCTTCACAGCCCACTGGAGTCTTTAGCCGCTTGGGTGATGCACTCAATGAAAATCGTTCAGCAGAGAGCGACGAAGATGACAGTGTTCTGCAGTATGCTGGTGTGCTTAAGAGAAGGGGAACTACCATTATTCGAGAAAAGCTTAACCCTGGGGTTACTGTGAAGGCCAAAGCCACAAGCTCTGAGCAGAAGCCTGCCATCAGCACCATTAGGAGATTAGCCACAAAGCCCCCTGCGAGTGCCCCTGCCAAGCTCACCACCCCAAAGATAACCCTGGCTCAAAGGCTTGGCACTGTCCGAGCAAACCCAGACGAAGAAAGGAAAAGAAAAGTGCCCTCGGCTGCACTGGTGAAGCGTTTGGGAAAGGCGCCATCTGAAGCTCAAGACAGCAAAGTCAGCAGTAGCAAGCCACCACCACCACCAAGTTTTAAAATTACCTTCAAGCGGACTGTGGGGAAACCCCGAGTAACAAGTTCTAGTGATAACCGCAGTGCTCAGATGGACAATACTGGCAGTATAAGTGTATTTAAGAGGTTAGGAAGAAAATCGGTATGAAATGAAAACTGTTTTAACGTTTGCCCACCAGGTTATGCAGTAAAGGTGCCTGCAGGTGGTCTTTTGTTGTTTTTGGGGTTTTTTTTCTTACACGCTCAGTGAAAAGCCAGGGTGAAAGCAAAGGAAAGCAAAGGTGATTATCCTGTCGCTGTATTTATTACTTTTAAGTAATAGTAGAAGTTATCTTTTTATAATTAAATATTTTATTAGAACAAGATGTGTAGTTTGGAATTTCTTGGGATTGTGGTTCTCACTGTGGGTAGTTGTCTGCACTTACAAAAGTGAGGGAAGCCAGCCTACTTACTGATCACCTAATTTAAACTCTGCTGATCCTCTGCATCTTGTTAAACTGATCCCGGTGTAATCCCTTCTCATCTCACCCCCCTCCTTGTTTTTTGCATATTCTGACGAGCTGAGCTAAATTGGTCCTTTGCTAAGAACGGGATCCTGAACCTTTCACCTTGACCCTCATCTACAGGTGTGTTAGTGGCTCCATTTCCTCTCCTATCAGTGTGAGGTATTATGTTCACAGCAACTGGTATTCCCTATAGCAGCGGATGAGATGGTGGCATTTATCTAATATATAGAGTCTCTGTCATTATGGCTATTCAGGGCAAAATGAGGGAGTCTCATAAAAGCCCACCTTCACCCCCCCCCCTGCACATCTTCATGCAGACAGAGCTCGTATGGAGTTTCAGTTAATAGTATGGAGCTCTGCCTGTATGAAAATGTGCAGAAGTCTGAGCTTTGCAGCCCTGATCGAGTGATCACAATTGCAATGCTTTCCAAGCTTGAATGCAAATATTAAAGAAATGCATAATATATATATTTTATTATTTATGCATTTCGTTAATTTTTGCAAAAGGTGGACTTATCCTTTTAAACAGCAGCTAGCTGGCGGAAGTAGATTGAAGTATATGTCTGGGCAAAAAAAAGAATCCATGTTTTGTCCCTTTTTTAACAACTTTGGAAGTACAGAAGAATACTTGTTTATCTGCCAAGACTGCACTTAGCGCCTGAGTTCTGTTGTGAGCTAACAGACAGAATTTTTCTGGTCTGAACGGTGTCAGCCCTGCCCAGTTTCCTTTTCCTAAACTACTCAGCCACTCCCGCTCTCGGATCTCTACAACAAAAAGACCAATCATTCGGTTATCACAAGAAAACAACTAGGAGGGCTAAATACTCTCCTTGAGATAACACTGCAGAGTGCACAGGACGGCTCTGACTTTCTGACATGATCAGTAGGTGTTTTTGTTGCACATATTAAACGTATATAAGGAACAGCTTTAAATAGAATATTTAGTGGAGCAAATAAAAAGTTCATTGTTGGGGTAAACATACACTTCAACCATTTCAGGCCTACCACATGTATGTCCCTTATGGACCAGGACAATTTTACAGTTTTGCTATAGGCCTTTTGAGTCAGTAACAACTTTGTCATTGAAGTAATACATATATCGTTTTTTTGCGGACAGAATCCCTTCTAGTCTGGGTCATCACCCAAAAATGTCCTGCCTTTGGTGGTTCTACTGATAGCTATGCTTACACCAGTATAGCTCGGGGTTGTTTGATCATACAAGCCCCCCACTTGGAAGGGGTTTTAATTTCCTCACTATAAAAAAAAAAAGGGGCCTTTACATACAGGGACAAAAAAAGCTGCTTTTAATATATTGAAGAAAATAAACCCTCTCCGAGTTGGTAAATCTTTCTCTTTTGGGGAGGTTTGCCTTACTGCAAAAAATTTAAAAAATGCGTGTGATATTTGCCTTGATCATTTGAGATTGTGGACCAGCCAATGCAATATTTGTACATGGACTGAAAAATACACACAGAATGATGGTGATACCCCCTCCTATGCAGCGGTCTAAGGTCCTGTGAATCGTCACGTCTATACACCACCATGTATAGATGTGATAATTCATGGGACTTTTAAAATATAGACGTGAGGATGCTGAGGAAGATTCCAATGCTGCAGGGTGGGGGAGACAGGCTGGAGGGAGCGCTGTGACAGCTGGCCGGCTCAGAGCTTCTGGTGAGTATCATTTTGTTATTTTAGCATCTAGACCAGGGGTAGCCAAACTAAGGCCCTCCAGCTGTGATGAAACTACAAACGCCATCAGGCATTGGAAGACTCTGACAGTCACAGACAAGGCCTACCAAGGCAGATGCATGATAGTATTTGGAGTTTCACCACAGCTGGAGGGCCACAGTTTGGCTACCCCTGATCTAGACACAAACAAGCACTTAATTCTTGAAGTGGGGCTACCGCTGCACTGCAAGGGTTAATAAAACAGATTCCTGGAGGTCGTCTTTAAAGGAGAACTATGGGGTTAAGGCTTTTCCCCATAGTTCTCCTTAGGGTAACCGGAGGACACAAACCCCAGGCTCGGTATACTGAGACGCTGAAGCGGACCCCGACGATTGTGCCGGGATCCGCCCAGCTGCGTGACTGACAGCTGCCTCTGCCTATCTAGAGGCAGAGCCAGCTGTACCCGCCTCTCCCCCGTCCGTTCCGCCAGTCGGCGCTGGGGGAATCCAGCCTCTCCCCTGTCACGGCAGAGAGCCGTGACAGGATCGAGAGGTGAGCGAACGCCGGTATGTGTTCGCTCACCTCCCGATCTACTGAGCCGACCTGTGAAAAGCACTCACCTCATAGTTCTCCTTTAAAGGCAGGGCAGGCAACAATGTAGACCAGGGGTGAGCAACTCCTGCCTTCTAGCTGCTGTGGAACTACAAGTCCCATGAGGCGCTGCAGGACTGACTGTTAACAGGCATGTTAAGATTTGTAGTTAAATCACAGCTGGGGGGCTGAAGTTGTCCACCCCTTGTGTAGACTGCACTCACTCTTCTATGTAACCCAAAGTCTTGGAATTGACTTGTCTTCAGTTTTTGGGCTACATCTCCGCTTCCAGATGTTGCAGAAAATGTGTTTGGATGGAGGAGCATGATAACGGTTCTATAAGAAATAGGCCACTGGAGCAGGATGCGTGGGATGTAAACAGCTCTCAGTCACATGCTTGTCACACAGGTACATCCTTTAACAAGATCAAAGAGATACTGTGTATACCATATGCCACTCTGCAAATGAGCTTGTAATCTGCTGGATCCGTGGCCAGGGTGCCATGATAGTGTCCCTTGCCTGTTTATATAATATCTTCATTGTGATGGGGCATTAAACTGTACTTGTAGACTTTCTTTTGTTGTAGACATTTACATGAAAATGATTTGCTTAGTTTAAATAGAACATTTTTAAAGCCCAACCATTTTTTTCAGCCTTTTGGATAGTGGGGGACAGTGTGAGATTTCTCGTTACATCCTGAGTGATGAGAGATAGGCTTTTCACTTCTTTTGCTGCTTTGCAGTAGTTTGTCGTTTGGAGTGTTCAATAGCTCAAGCTGAAAATAACGATCACAAGTACATTAGGGGCTTCGCAGGGGAGAGAAGTGAGCGCCAACTGCCAGAGGAGTGGTGGTCAGGTAAGTAAAGGTCCTCTACACCATACCCCAGGACAAAACAAGCAGTTAACCCTTGCAGTGAGATGGGCTTTAAATGGTTTTGTTAGATTTTTAGGTTGAAACTTACAACTAATGTTTACAGTAAAGGTTTTGGAGGGCATTTCCAACTGAGAATCTGGTGATACAAATGCATAAGCAGAAGTGAAAACATATCAAAATGATCAGTATATCCAGAGATAAAAGCAGCAGAAGTTATATGTTTATCTTGACTCTTCCTATACAAGTCAAACCCAACCTTGCATCCCTGTATGTCCTTTAATGTAATTGGTGTCCTTATTGGCCAATATTGATGCTCACTACTGGGGGTGGAGCCAAGCTCAGACTTTACAAGAAAACGTCGAGATTTGCATATTATTTCATCAACATGTTCCCTTGGATCTACTGACCATTGTGAAATGTGGTCTCTACAGAAATTAACCCATCCTTACATAGTGTTTCTCTTTCACAAGAATTCTACTATTAACTCTAGGAAGTAGCAATACAAAAGATGGTCACATTGAGGCTGATTCATTAATCTTCCGCTCAGCATATAGCTGGGCGAAAGACGTTTACCTGCCACTAGGTGTAGTTGAGGAGACTAGAAAATTACTATGCTCCTCAACGCCATCTATCGGCAGTAGTGTCATGCGAACAGCAATAATAAAAAAATCGGCCCCTATGGGACCTTTTGTATTGATAATTAGTAGATACGTGTATAGATACGCTGGGTGGAAGATTTAGAAATCAGCCCTATGGTGTATCGAGCACTACATATACACAACATACATAATATGAGCATACAGTAAAGAAAATAATGGTACAAACACATCGCCAAAGGTAGTATTCGCCAGTCTTAAAAGCCAAGGCATAAGGAATGGAATTGAAGGGCTCAGACATTTTTGGTCTCTCAGACTAAGACCTTACAGTCTCATGATGAATAGAAGTGAGGATGGGGAGTAAAACATATACACTATATTGCCAAAAGTATTGGGCCGTCTGCCTTTACACGCACATAAACTTTAATGACATCCCAGTCTTCGTCCATAGGGTTCAATATTGAGTTGGCCCACTCTTTGCTGCTATAGCAACTTCAACTCTTCTCCAGGCCTCCACAAGGTTTAGGAGTGTGTCTATGGGAATGTTTGACCAATCTTTCAGAAGCGCATTTGTGAGGTCAGGTACTGATGTTGGACGAGAAGGCCAGGCTCCCAGTTTCTGCTCTAATTCATCACAAAGGTGTTCTATCGGGTTGAGGACCTAACCCAGACATGTCCATCGGATTGCCAGACAGAGAAGCGTGATTAGTCAGAGGTATGGGGAAAATTAGTAGAGAGGGAGAAATTCCCACCCGTTGTCTCGCACTCCCACCTTATATAATATTTCATCACACGGTTGGAATTGCCTGGGTTAGTGACAGGTTTGCATGAACTGTGCATGCTATAATATCCTTTCATCATCCGCGGTGTTAGGTGTTATGTCTATGCAGGATGTTACGGATTCTCTCCAGGTGGGGGGGCTGAGTGACTGGCTCAGCATAAAGCTCCAG